GGGGGCTCGGGGCGCAGGGGCGGAGGCCCCCCAGGGCGCGAAGGTGGTGGTCATCGAGATGGAGCTTCGCAAGGACGAGCAGAGCTCGGAGCTCAGGCCCGCAGTCAAGTCCCCCAGCAGAACCAGCCTCAAGAACGCCCTCAAGAACATGATGGGCCGGGACTCGGACCCGTGACCAGCCCAGGCCCTGCAGAGCCGGGGCCCGGGCTCCCTTTGCCCCTCTAGGTGCCCTGCCCTGCCCTCACTTCGCTCTGAGATGTAAGTTTCACTCCAAAATTCATTCCCCAGGCACGTCATACTCTCCCCCACCTCCACCCCCTGGCTTTCTGGGAGTCCAGGGCCTGATCCTACCCTGCACCGCCCCAAGGACTGTGTGTTTGGTGCCTGTCCCTCCGGCACCGAGAAGAAAGGGACCTTGCTACCCCGCGCCTCGACTCCAGGCCGCCTGCACCCGTGCCCCTGCACCCAACCTGTCCCGCTGCCTCTTCCCTCCCTGACCCTCCCACCCCTCCGTCAGGGGCCCTGCCCTACTGTGTGCTCTCAGCTAACACCGGGTCATGCAGATCAGCTCCCTGCAGGGTTTATTCCGGTTCTTTTATTTTTTTAATCCAAGCTTGTCGGTTGGTTTGCCGGTGCCCTTGCTCTGACCCCCATGACTGAGTACCAATGACGTCATGTGGATGTTTCGATTCCCCGCCCCCATTCCGTCCTTCAGGGAGTCCGCCGGGCGCAGGGCCCCCGACGCCCGCCCTCTGCGGCCGCTCGGAGCACTGTCCTGGGGCTCGAGGTCCTGGGGGAGGAGGGACAACGATCCTCAGGTCAGGAGTTGAGGAAAGGGGCAGATGAGCCTTAAGAAATGGCTTTTAAACAACCAAACAGAAAGGAGGAAAACAAATGGGAACTAGGGTGAAAGGGAAGAGGCTACACTCCCAGCCACAGGGGATTCTTAGAATTTTTCTACATTCTGTATATTTCTTCTCAACCCCCAAATGTCCTCATATGTTTAATAAACACTGACATTTCCAGAAGCTGCTGCCTCCATCTCCGTTGCTTCTTCTGGGCGTAGCCCTGCCCTCTCCGGCCCGCCACCCCCCCCCCAGCTGGTTTCCATGAAGAGCTTGGTTGCGGGCGGCTCACACAGCGCAGGGAGGGCACTCTAACGTGGCCCACCAGGCACACGCCAGCCTTCACCAGCACCCAGCCGGCGCTTGGCGAGAGATGGGGAGGGGGCAGCAGCTCACTGGAGTGATCCCAGGGAAGACCGGAGCTGCGGAGGCCACCGCACTGCCAACAGCTCCGGAAATGATGGAAATGCAGCCAGGGGAGAGGGCCAGAGAGAGAGGCAGAGGCGCCGAAGGGAGCGCCCTGCAAGGACTGAAGGCAGGAATGAGAGCCGGGAGAGCCCCGTGGGAAAGCTGACTGTGTTGGGGCCGGATGGAGGAGAGGGCAACGACCCCAGGCCCTGGCAGTAGGCTGTCAGGGAAGCAGGACCCTTGTCCCTTCAGGGGCCTGACTTTCTGCCAAGATCCTCTCCCAGTTTGGGCTTGAGAACGTACCCAGCACCCCTGCTCCTCAGGGCTGCACACCCAGCTCGCCACCCGCGTCAGCGGAGAGCGCAGGAGATCAGAGCGACAGGGCGGTACCGCCCGGCTCTCGCCGGGACTTTCCAGCACCGTCTCTTCTGCTGGCCCGTAGTAGCAGGTTTCGCTCACAGAATAAGGCGCTCGAGCAAGTCCCGGCGATTGGTATTCAGGATCGTGTGTCTCCAGCGGTAGGAACTGGGGGGACAGAAGAGAAAAGGGGTTCCAGGGCCCAGGAGGAGTTGCGGGCGCAGAGGTGGCAGATGAGCAGCGCTGGAGGAGGCCGCGGGCTGCAAAGGAGGCCCAGCCCTCTCAGGTCAGAAGGCTCTCCCCTCACTGAGCCTGTGTTTGCGGTCACACCCTGGCCCTAGCATGCGTATGGGGGCAAGTGTAAAGCGGAAGGGAAACGTCCGCACCAGACCGCCCGGAGCAGTGGAGCCTGCGGAGGGGCTGGTGACAGACCCCCGCTGCCTTCCACCCGCCCCGAGCCCCACCCCCACCGGAGCCTCATCCGGCAGGAGCCCTGCTCTCCCCGCCCCTCCAGGGACCGAGGGGACAGGAGCAGGCGCAGTGACAGGGGCCTCTCTGTGCCTCAGCTCCATCCTCCCCAGCTCGGAGGCACAGCTGTTAAGTAGTTTCACTTCCTGCATGTGGCTCTGGTTTCCAGGTACGAAGCTCAAGTCTCAACAATGTAAACTCATTTGAAAGCCATCATTTTATTTAATTCATGGTTTAAAGTCTTCAGTGTGGCCCAGTCTTCTTCCACTACATTTACTTAACAGTTGGGGGAGGCGGGGCAAACCAGCAGGGACAGCTAGGACAGGTCACGTGGGGACAGGGAGCAAGATGACGGGGTGTGCCCTCAGCTGGAGGGGAAGGGAAGGGGAGCAGCAGGCCCGGGTAGGGAGGCAGCAGTGCGGGCGTGAAGCAGGGTGTGGGCAGGCCGGTGGCCTTCAGTGAGAAAGTGCTCGGGCACCTGCCCTCCCTGGGGCCAGCATTCACACTCCTCCCAAGAAAAATCAGAAGCAGAGGTTAAACGACTCCACTGGAGGGTTGTTGTTTTTTCTATAATTATGAAACCGCTAAAACCTCACCGAGTGGCTATTCCCTTCTGTCCCGACTCCACGGTGGGGCAGGCGGGCGCTCCAGGAGTCACCTGGTCTGCGTGGCCTCTGGGGAGGCTAGATGTGGGGCTAGGGGCAGGCACTCTCCCTGGCCGCAGCCTGTCCTCAGAGCTTCCTCTCACTGTCCTTCCTTCCCAGTCTCCCCCAGCTCCCACGCCCCTGCCTCTGCCCTGCCCCGCCCCAGCCTTGATGGTGAAGGCAACACCCTTTGCCTGGCCCAGTCCCCCTGTGTTCCTGGGACTCATCTCCTCAGCAGGCACTGATGTGAAAGCTGCTGTGGGGTCTCCAGGGGCTCCCGTCCCCACCGCGGCTTGGCGCAGCAGGAAGTGGAGGCGGCAGCGCAGAGGGTGTGAGGGAATGTTACCTGAAGTGGGACTGTTGTAAGGACAGGCAGATAGTGCATATCCCCCCCAGGCACCTGACTCTGAAGATTCCA